AAGATGGCAGGCAAGAGTGGTAAAACATAAATAGCTGCTCTATATGCCAGTGCTGCAGTGGCATTTGGGATACAGAGAGGAAACCAGTGAAGGTGGAAGGGCACAAACAACCCAGGGACTGAGAAAACAACCCGCAGTTGAACTTCCAAACAAACCCTGGGTAGGGCAAAGAATCATAGGTCAGAAAAAACATGGGTTAGCATTCTGTGCAAACTCAGTCAGTGAATGTTTTAGACCCAAATATGCTATTTAGGATGCCTGTCAGATATTGGAGAGAACTTGTAAGTCTGTTTTGTCAAAAGATTTGCCCTGAATGTATGGAAGGGGTGAAAAAAAATCTGCTTTTGATTTTGCCAGAATTCTTGCCATTTTCACAAGAGTCATTAGCAACTCTCATCACCAGCCAGCACTGCCCTACAATGCTGTTCTGCAGCGGCTGACCTACAGGCTAGAGGAAGAGTTTTTGTGGTCAGTAGTAGGACTGAAAGGCCTTGACAGGTTGAGTGTGTACCATAACTTTGCTCTTGCAGCCTGTGTGAGTAGAAGTCTATAAAGTATCTGACTCTGCAAAAAGGCAAGTTTGGACCAAGGTAGGGGGAAACTGAGGACACTCATAAAGTCCTATAAAGAAAGTAATTAGACAGACTGTAGAGCAGGAGAATGAAAGATGCCCAATAAGTATGAAATTAGCAATAACGACACTTTTTGTGTTCTTTAGTATTCAAAGGAGCAACCTCTACTGCGTTTTGACAAATTGTGACTTCGTCCTTTTTCTTGGGGCAGCTTACTCAGAGGATGAGCAGCACATCTGGAATCTTAATCAAAGAGCCACAGGGTGGCCCCTTGCCTCTTATTTTGTCTTATTATTTAATAAGACAAAATAAAACTCTGGCAGATCACTGAAAAGTAGAAAGCCAAATTCACCAAAATTATTATTTTAAACTTGTTTGATTGTCAGGTAATACTATTTTAAATAAATACAAATTTAAAAGTGCACACTATTTCAGGTGCTTATTCACAGCAGGATGTTTTGTGTATGTTTAATGTCAAAGATGTTATCTCTGAAGACTTGGGTTTTGATATGCAGTTAATTAAGAACATTAAAAACAAAACTCTACCAGAGAGCAAAACTTGCTAGGAGGTCCCCTATTTCCGTTTATCAATGCTGAGAATTTTCTGTAGTGCTGATGGAATTGCCTGTTGTGCCCACTTTTAAGGATTCTGAAATTGCAGTCTTTGTAAAAATAGCACACATTTTGGGGCTGTTGAAAAACTAAATCTGAGTTTTGCCATTGACAAAGCTGAGCAGCTATTAATAAATGCCCAATCCATGTTGAAGATGGAACACAGAGTTATAGAGAGCCAGTGAAAGCAGAAGGGATTGTTGTTTCCATTCTTCCTATCCTCTGCTTAGGATGCAAAGGTTTAAAGGAAACCTTAAGAGTAATCCCTAAATTGAGTTGCAATCAGGGGATAAAAAGTGTCTATTCTCAGGGTGAAGGGGAATAATGGTTCTTATGGGTAAAAGAAAAAGTAGATGAATGGGGTGTTCCACTCCTGTGCTTGGTTTTATAAATACAGTAATACAGAGTTGCTATAGATTTCATCATTCATCTTATTTTAGCTAAACTTGAGCTGTTTTAGTGGCACACAAGTAGATTTCCCCCCTTTTACTGGGTACTGCAGTAGAAAACACTGATGAGATTTTCTCTAAAGCAGAGGTAAGCGACTTGTGTTCAATATTCAAATCTAATATTCACTGCAGATGGGCATTAGATTCAGGCAAAGTCCAAACAGAACTGAGTGGCTTCGGTCTAGTTCCATCACTTCCTGAGGTGGATTGGGCATCCCTCCAAACTGACCAAAAAACCAAGCCAGAGGTGAACAAGGCTTTATGACCAACCTGTTTTTTGGAGCTTCTGGAGAACCTAAGAATTTGTCTCCTGAATATAGTGTATGCTAGTTTTGTTCTATTAAATGGCTGAGTCTGGAGCGGGGAGGTGCAGGTAAGTCACTGGCAGGGACTCCTTCTAATCTTAGGGTCCATTTACTAAATCATCCATTTGGTGGACAGATTCTTTTGCTTCAGTGAAATTCTTGTTTCTTCCTTTTCTCACAGTTGTATAATAGCTTGCAGCAGCTTGCGAGTGGGAAGTAAAATGATAAATTCTCCAATTCTCCTTTGTGTTTAAGTAGGGTATCTTGTCTTCAGGTTTTATTTGTTCATGATTTCATTCTATTTTCCTTAACTATATCTTCTCTTAGGCCTGTTCTGCAAAATCATTGGGTTTGAAACAATTGTAGCTGTTTTTCTATTTCCCATGATTGTCAATGGGAAGCATGAAGCCACAGCTTTTCAAAACTCAGTTCTGATTCAAAACCCAACCTTCATCAATTTTTAGTGTACTTCTTGTCCAAGGTATATAAGTTTGAAACAGTTTTAAGGGTGCTAAGGATATTTCTTAGTAGCTTGTACCTGGAAAATAAATCCACAAAAAATTAATGATATGCAATATTCAGAAACTTTTTGGGTTTCTTTAAAACAAAAACCAAAAAAATGCTTACCTTTAGAACACTGCTTTGCTTCAGTATGTTATAGATTCCCTATTTCTGCAGAATAGCTGTACTTTTGTGGCCTTTACAAGTGTTGTACTCACCCTGGTATATGTTAAGTATTTTCCTCACTCAAGGTATGAAGGGTATGTTCAAGCGGTGATTATTTATTTAATTATTGATGTACGGCATAGCTAAAATACATTTCTCTCTCAGTAATCAAGCAACAAAAACAACATAGCAGTCAGTGTCCTTTGAAATTTCTTGTTTGTTTCCACTGAAATTATAATCACTGATATAATCAAAGGAAGCAGGCCATCTAAAGTTCCATTTTGTGGGTGCTTTGGGTTGGAATACTTGCTACAATTCCTGTTTCCTTCCCCCTGGCTTTTGATGTTGGTAGGGATGCACTGTCTACAGTACAGCGATTCAGTTAATCTAGGTTCAGTGGGTGTGACTGTGCTTATGATAGTGAGAGAGGGGCTGATATCATTAGTGGAAAAGAGTTTAGCAGGTCAACATCTTGCAGGAAATGGAAACCTGCATTTGGAGACACATTCATAATACTGTATCTGGGTTGATAATTGACACCCAAAGGGAGATAGTAATCTACAAAACTTTTTCCACTTAACATGTGCCATTTCATATTCCCATGAATTCTTGTGTAATGAAAGGGTTGATCAGGCTGTTCCACCCTGCCCCCTTCCCAGTGTTTCAGCCTGAATGCCAAATTCAGTTTCGGAGACACCCTCGGAGGCCACATTCAAATGGTGAATGGAGCTGAAGGCAAAATGGGTGGGAGCAATTTAAAAAAAAAAAATCCCAGCTTGCTTTGGCTGAAAGCTCTTATTGCCAGGAACTAAGCTTTGGAAGAGGCATTTCAGAGTTTTAGAATGAGAGGAAGGTATGTAAAAAGACAGGAAATGTGCCAATCAGTAAGCAATTGAAGAGGGGGCAGAGCATTCTGGGGGAACCCAGACTTGGCCCCCGGGCTTGTGGTTCCCCAGCCCCTGCTATAAGGACACATCTCAATTGAAGAGAGTGGGCCTAAAATAAATCATTTCCATGGCACTGAGGACTGATAGTAACCACAGCATATTGAAAATACACATTTAGCACCATGATATACCAGTTAAGCAGTGTAAACTACTGAGTATCTCTTTAATTCTTTCCTTCAGAAAATACTGAGTGTAGGAAAAAGTATATGAAGTGAATTCTCCTAAGAACTAATATTTGAGGTAATTGCAGATTCAAGATAGCATTTCTTTACAGCTGTACAGGGATACTGCAAAACCATATCTAATCTTTATTTCTTAATTGGACAAGAAATTAACGAATAAAGTAATTGTACAAGAAAGTGTACTATGGTGTTGTTGCCTGGGATTCAAAGAGGCTTGTGTCTGGAAGTTAGACACTTGTTTTCAGATGACAAGTGTTGGAGCCTTTTCCAGAGCACCCCCTTTCCTTAGAAACAGGAAAATGAACATGACACTTACTCCATTGCTCCCCAAATACACATTTGAGGCAGTTTGGATCTTGGCAGCTATCCTATTCTTCGGCATCTCTCATTCATTGCCCTCAGTGTTAGTGTGAACAAGAGTATTTCATACACATGAAGCGTTCAGTTTGGTAAAACTTTCACAACCAGGGATTATTTAGAAGATGGTAAAATAGTATCTGATTTGAATTGGAAAACTTAAAATCTTTCCCAACTTACTCCAAACTAATCTTGCTTTGTAATTTAATTAGGATAGTTGGAAAGCAGTCAATATGAAAAAATATTTGTATTACGTTAAAATACCCACATGCGTACCTGCAATGGAGTATCATGCCAGGACTGTCACTTCTCCATCAAAGATGTTGTTTCTCATGAGTTTTCACACAGCTTAATCATGGTTGCTAGTTACTGGGCAACCAATTATTTTAGAGTGGCATATAGGCCACAGTTATATTATGACCTTGTTCAGGCATAATGACAACCCAGAGTACAGTTGAGCATGGCCTGTCGTTTGTTACGTGTGAATCAAAACCTCACAACACAATAGCAAGCTGAGTTCATTTCCTGGGTTGTTTATGGTTCACAACTGTAGTGCAGAATACTAACATAACTCATATATCAGCAACAACCCATAATCAACCTAAATTCTGGATTGTCATTATATGCAAACCAGGGCTTTCTTTAAAAAAATTCTATGTTTTTTTGCATTCAAGCTGCATTTCCCCAAATAATACTGTAGTTTAATGGTTAATAATCTGTACTATACCTGTATAGTTTAGGCATGCATCTTACCAGGACTTGCACCAGTAAGACATCTGGCTTGATCATGTCATTGTCTTGTACCAACTTAAAAGTAAAAGATTCTGGTCAGAGTAATGATGTGTAATAATGGCTATTTGACTTTCATAGAAATAATAATTTTTTATGTCTAACCTTAATGCATCTACAGGTTTTAGGCCCTGCTCCAAAATGGTGTTCATTCCTTGATAATTTGACAGAAGAGCTAGAAGAGAACCCAGAGACCACAGTGTATGACGACTATAAGTTCGTAACGAAAAAAGATCTTGAAAGTTTAGGTAAATTGATACTGGTCTGAATAATGCAAGAGGTTTGTTTGTTTGTTTGTTTGTTGCCATGTCCTTTTCCTTTTTGCTTTCTTCTCAGTGACCACTTCTTTTACATACTGCTTCAGTGGATATAGCACACCTTACAAAGCAGCAGAGCAATGGAGCTGCTCGAATTTTGTCCCAGTCCATTGAGTCAGTTGTCACTGCATGATAAGCTTTTCTACAAATAAGCTGCATTGGGTTTGTTGTTGGCTCAGTAACCCACATCACTTCTGACAGAAGAACAGTTACTTTGGGACTAGCCATGGTTTCTCTGCCAGCCTTCCATGTATTCCATGGAACTTTGTGACAGAACATGTCTCGTTCCCTTGTCCCTACAGAAGGAAACCTTTCCAGCTTCCTGCCCCACTCTGGTTAACAACCCCTTTTCTGGGCATTTTTCCATTCACAACTTTAAAAAAAAAAAGGTGATTCAGAAGTTCGCAAATAGGTTCCTCTGTCAAAAATAAAGAGACTGTTAGTCACAAATGCACGATTATGTACATTTGCCTATCCATTATTAACTTGCTTCAGTGGTACAAATAATTATCACCTCTGTATGTGTTGAAATCCCACTTCCCTGTTTCATTCTGTTACTGTACTAGTTTATCATTTATATCTTGCCTTGTATTAAATGTATATCCCACCTTTTTCCCTTCAAAGCATCTCGTTGGTTTGCATGGTTCACCTCCTCCTCCTCTTAAGATAAGATTAGATAAGATTAAGGTAAAATAAGATTAAGATAGTCCTCACAACAATCCTGTGAGGTAGTTTGGGCTGAGAGTCTGTGACTGGCAGTCACAGAGCTCTCGCCCCAAGAGCTCTAGCACTTCCCTTTGACCTGACCTGAAAAACTGACCAGTGTTAATCCAAAGTGTAATGGGAGAGGATGCAGTTGGCAAGTGTCCCCCCCCCCACTCCCCATTACAACTGCTCTTTGAAGAAATTACTTTATTTACAAGCACTTTCCCCCTTTTTGACTGTTTCTCAAGTGCACACAATTAATATTTTTATTAATATCCCACCACACACTATTAGTTTGTTGTGCAAACTCAGTCAACAACAAGCTGTGGGTTTGCAGGGTGGCATTTGCATGGATAACAAACCATGCTGAGGAAAATGTCCTGAGTTTGGGCATCAAGGCAAGCCCCCTGAAACAACCAAGGCTGAGAGAGCACCACACATCACAAGTGGCCGTGTGATGTAAGCCAAGCCATGATACAAACTTCCAATTATGAATCCACCTTTTGGAAATCCATATATGGAACTTCATCATCCTAACTTGTTCCACTTTCCAGGAATGTTTGTATTAGTTGATTCACCCTCCAAATATACATAAGTAGAGATTCTCCTTGGCATTTTTGTAGGGCCAGCTTTGTGAGAGCTGCTCTATTCAGTGTAAATGTTGCTTATTTCTATGGTCATATAGCAATTTGGGAATAATTAAATTTTGCTTCTTCATTGATTAACCCTTAAAAACACTTCATTAAAACATTATCTTTAGACAGATAATTCTCCCAGAAGAGTGCCTTTTGGCATACAGAATTCACCTTATTATGTAATGATGATTAAACTAATTCTTTATAGTCCATTTGCTTCTTGCATTTTAACACTTACAAGTAATTCACAAAAATACAAAAAGTCACGATAATATTCTGAAGGTAGAATAACATTCTTATTTATCACACAGATGGACAACTGACCCATAAACGGTCTTCCTGTCTTTATAGGAAGTCTGTAATAGAAGCCAGAATAGATCCTAAATTCAAAGGCCATGCTTATATAGGTCCGGAAAGGCCTGACTTTTTTTGTGCTTGGAAAGTTATTTCTTCAGACCACCCTATTCATTTTATTGCTCGAATCATTATATACTCTGCTAGCAGTATGATGGGCAGAGGGGAACCACGACGAAAGCCCCTCCAATAAAGAAATAAAATGTGGAAAGATCCATTGGAAAGCTACAGCATGGCTCCATCTGCGTTTTGTTTGAAGGCATTCTCATGCTTGCCTCTCTTCTTGTCCCTGTCATTGGAGAGCAGGCTGCCCAGCTGGTGCACCTTGCTGGGTTTGCCATCACCACCCAGGAAGGACTTCTGATTTTCCCCTCCACACCCCCACACACAGACACAGACACAGAGGAGTGAATAGTTCCATTTCTCTGCATCCTTGAAGAAGACACCACTTTTTGCCTCTGCCACCGTCTCCACTTAAAAGCCATCAATGCGATTTTCAACACTTTCAAACAATAAAGCCTTACCATAATAAAGTAAGAACATTAAACCAATAAAATATTGAGACTGCAAGTTTTAAAAGGCTAAATTAAAATGATGTATCTTCCTGTCTTGTGTGAAAGCCGGGGAGAGGGGTGTAATCATAACTGCATGTTTGGGCAGGGTTTTGTACCAAGCTTACTTTTTGCTGTATTACCGAATTGGCCCTTAGCTGGGATGGTAGAAAGTTGCAGGCCATACTGGCCTTAGTTACAGGCCTTATTTCATGGATTGGTTTCTCCTTTTGTCTCCACTGCAAGGGGGAGAGGCCTTGCCTCCCACCTTTCCTTCCCTCCACTCTCAGGACTTCCCTCACCTCCCTGCCTGCTGTAGAGGAACCTCTCAGACAGAGCTGCCACTGAGGGAATGGAGCTGAGGTGGCGAAACCTAGCTCAGAACAATCCTGGGCTGCTTCTGCTTTTAGCCATAAAAACAGGCAAACCATTTACAGCTGCCTCCTACTGAAAGAGAGAGAGGCTGGTGCAGCTTTTCATAGCTTCTAGTAGGCCTGGAGAATTTGCTGCCCTTGCCCATTTCTTGGACATGACAGCATAGTGTGGGCAAAACACACAGGACTTCTTTATTTTCTGTTTACAGATCTGTATTAAATAGCTAACAAGGAATTGTATATGACACTGTTTAATTGCTCACATGCAGGGACATTTAATGAGTATGCCCATTTTCTCTGTGCTCATGCTGGGAAACTGTCAAGTGAAATTGGACCCATACTGACTATAGCAGACTTTCCTGGCCTGGATTTAGGGAAGATGGGTGTGCTGTGTATACTCTAAAATGTAAATTAATTAGAAAATGTTTGTTGTGCACATGTGTAAAGCTTGCAAAATACATATTTCATTTCATTTCAATACTGCACAATAGCTGAAGTTCCCTGGCCAGTTTCCAACACATAATATACAATAGAAAGACTGCATTAAAATACAATAAAAAGATTACCATACAAAATTTAAAACAAATGTTAAAAAGCTAGAATAGCTAATACAAATTAAATAATACGTTCTATTATGGGAGATAGCACAGCCCCAGTAGAATAATAAACTAATGAAATGTCCCTTGGTAGAGGACAATCTTAACCTGGTGCTGAAAAGATATTAAAGTTGGCATCGGGGGGTCTCAGTAAGGAGCTTGTTCCACAGCTGGGGAACCACCACAGAAACAACCCTTGTTGCCACCAACCAAGTCTCCTTCGGAGGTAGCAATCAGAGGCAGGCCCTTGAATGTGATTGTGATGTCTTGGTAGATTGCGGTTGTGAGAATTGTTGCATCAAGTATTGTGGTCCCAAAGCATGTAGGCCTCCATAGGTTAAAACCAGCACTTGACTTGGGCTCAGAAGCATATGAGCAGCCAATGCAAGTAGGTCAGAATTGCTGTTAAATGGTCAGACTGTATGGTTCCTGTTATTAATCTGGCTGCTGCATTTTGCACAAGATGCAGCTTTTGAACAGTCTTCAAGGGCAGCCCCATATCAAGGGTACTTGCACAGGATTTGCACATGATAGTGTGTAAAAGGTACACTAGCTCCTTGCCTCCACATGTGTAGAAGAAATGTTTTCCATTAAGTAGCTGTACATTTATTTCCTGTTTCTTACAAAACACTGCCCTGGTTTATTAACATGCTGGCCTGTTTTGTTTCTCTTTTTCCCCACACCAGGGCTGGCTCATCTTATTGGATCACCACTTCTCCGAGCATATATGCATGGCTTTTTCATGGACATAAGATTGTATCACAAGGTAAACTAGACTAAATGAGAATGGTTAATTATATGGCATCTTGTGAGATCTTTCTATTTAGCAACTTCTGGTTTGTGTTCACAGGTCAAAATGATGGTGAATCCTTTTGCCTATGAGGAATATAGGAGAGAGAAAATTCGGCAGAAGATAGAAGAAACACGTGCACAAAGAGTGCAATTGAAGGTAAAGGTTCAGCTTTTCAGGAAAGTATCCATGAAGGTTTGGTTGCACCATGACAGATTGGTTAAAAAAAGAGAAAGAACTTCTATTAAACCTGTACATTTGTGGTGCTTTGAAGCCAAGAGCCGGTGTGGTGTAATGGTTAGCACTGAGGACTTTGGATATCTGGGTTCTAGTCTCCACTCAGCCATGAAGCTCACTGGGTGACCTTGGGCAGTTACTGACTCTCATCTCAACCTTCCTCACGGTCACAAGTTTGGTTTGAGGATAAAATGGCAAGGAGGGTTATTTAATTTTCCTTGAGTTATTTTCCAAAAACAGATGGGATATAATTCATGCATAATATTAGGCTTTGTGACTAGGACTTGCAGGAAACAGCCCAAGTCTTACTTAATTGCTTCTTGGCTAAGTATATGTAAGTTTCTAATGTAGTAAATAAAACAGCCACAATATGACTTGAATTATTCTGTGCAATATGGGCAACCTGAAGCATAGACCTCATGTAGTGGTATGGGAGCCATTGCATTGCTGTCCCTCTGCCACGCCACTGGCATAACATGAGAAGAATTCAGCTACATGGGAGGAGTCCATGCTGCAGCTCCTTGCCACAGAAAACCTTGGCATGAGGCCAGGAAAGGCCTGAGGGCATTTCCAGTTATTGGGCTGATATGATAAACCTGGATTTTTACTTGCTGAAAGTTGGAGAACTTTCTGAAACGTCCAAAATTGCATCAGTATAATTACTGGGCTAGATCCAATACTGTCCAGGCAGGAGCAGTTTCCCTGACCCCTTCCTCCTCATGGAAGATGCTTCAGTCCCCTGAAGTGATGGCACAGAAGGAATGGTGGTGCTAGAGGACCCCCCCCCCCACACACACACACACACACTCAGACACACAAAATAAAAATAAAGAACAGGAAGAGACACCTACTTTGAACATAGTGCTTCCACCCATGGAAGGCAGATTCTAGATCCAATCCAGTATTTAGGTCATGACCCATCCCCTTCATTAGGAAATTTACAGGCATATTCCCTGAGTTACAAATATCCAAGTTACAAACAACTCATACTAACAAACTCCTCTAAAGCGTATTATTTTTTAAAAAAATTACTGTGGAAAATCAGCATCATCATAGGAAGCAAGAGGGGAGAGAGGGAAGCTTCCAAAGCAGGCCTTCCTGCCCCACCCATCTGGAGAAGGAAATCTTTCTGGCATTTCCTTGCTGCATTGAGGAGGCACTGGTGCCGTTGGGGGCAAGGCAGGGTAGAGATAGTCACAGTTTTTCCACTTTCACAGGGGTCCTGTACCCCTAACCCCTGTGGATGTGGAGAGCCAAATATGCATGATCCTGCTTATGTACAAATTCAACTTAAAAGCAATTTCCATTTTATCAGGAATGAAACTCATTCATAAACCAGGGATTGTTGTATTGAACATGCAGCATATAAGATAAAAGAAACCCATGCTTCTTTTCATTTACTAGAAACTTCCCAAGGTTAATAAAGAGCTTGCACTGAAGTTGATTGAGGAGGGAGAAGAAGACTCACTAAATGCAAGAAAAAAGAAACAAAAGGTAAAATATCTTACTCTGTTTCTTCCATTAATTTTGTACAAGAATAAAAGTGTGGGTGGCATCAGGTGTTAGATATGCAAAGGGAATCAATGCTGCTGTTTTGGTGGGGAAGCATGTCTGCCTTGCAGAAAGTTCACGATTCAACCCCTGGACCTCCAGTTCCAGAATTTCTGCTGGTAGGTACTGCAGAGCCAGCGTGCATAGACAAGGCTGAAACAGATGGACAAATAGTTTGACCCAGTAGGAAGGAGCTCACCTGACTTCTGTAAGCCTTTTTGAAATCTATCAGCTCTTGGATAGCATTAGTTTAATATAATATTGCACAGGGGCCTGTATATGTGCTATAATTCTAACTGGAGGCTCTCTGTGTTACTAGGGGTGCATCCCTCTGCATGTCTAGACAGAAAAATGTCCAAATTCCAGCATTCCCTAGGCAGCATAGCTAGCTGTGGCATGCTGGGCCTTGTAGCACTTCTTTCTGTCTAAATATTTAGAGGGTTGTTCTTTAAGTTGAAAGATCACTTGATTTCTTGTAGTTGGGGAAATGAATGAGAGAGAGAGCGAGAGCGAGAGAGAGAGAGAGAGAGCACGCGCGCGCGCGCATGCACATCCTATTATTGAGAAGTTACATTAGAAGTCATAGTGGTTAAGGCTGGCTCAAACTGCTGCGTGTGATGCCTAGAAAAAGTTAAAAACTTGACTAAGATACATAGGTGGTGATACAGATTATCATATGGATATTCAGTCCTCAGCTCTTCTGGCATTTTAAACTTGGCCTTACATTTATCTCAGTTTAACCGTAAAATACATTATGACAACAACTTCTGACTTCTTCCCTAATGGGCCATAAAGCAGCCGGTGTTGGTAATGTTCTTGTTCATTATTCTTTCTGCATATTTTTAGACCTCCCATTACGGCTCAAAGAATTTTCCTTTCTGGGCAGCTGTACAAACAAGTTGTTGGACCAGATTGATTCCCAGGTGTTAGTACTTTTCCAGTGGCTGCAGCTAATGACCTTCTCACTAGTAAAAAGTGAATGTTCACTACATGGCTTGCTGAAGTAGCATAACCTTTAGTAAACTTGTAACTTACTTTATGAAGATAAAACTGTTTAATTCAGTGGTAGCTAGGACTAAATAATTCTGTTCCAACATTCCTAGCATTGTCCATGTAATAGCTCACATACATGCATTACCATGGACCAAGTGGATGTCTGTTTGCTTCAGCAAACATTCAAGCAACCATTCCCAAGGGAACTTATATTAAGATCATGCTTTATTCAAGTAAATATTCAAGTAAGAATATTGTTGACCTTAACTCAGCAGCACTGAAGCCAGTTGAGAGCAGCATATTGCAAGGAGCCCTAACACAGCATGTAGACCCACACAGGGGTCTCCAATGTGGCGCCCATAGCGTGCTTTAGGAAGCACCAGCTGCCTGTGACACTAGCACTGGGTCTCATTGGCTCCGCAGAAACAGTCGGGGTGCAACCGCAGGAATTGATGCTATACAGTGTGTTATTTGAAATCTGTTTAAAATGAGGCAAGCATACATGTATATATAAGCAGCATACATACATACATACATACATATATATATATATATATATATATATATAAGCAGCTGTCTATATATATAAGTAGAATGAACAAATATTTTTCTCGTTTTTGACATGATCTAGAAGAGGTCAGTTCTAATGCTTCACATTTTATGTATGTATGTATGTATGTATGTATGTATTTATTTATTTATGGCATTTGTATGCCGTCCTATTGCATAGGCTCGGGACAACTTACATAAATAAAATAAAACATAATACAGATAAAATCCAGATTCACCCTGGCTGCATATTAAAACCTATAAACTGATATTAAAAGTTATTAAAATATTGTTGGAATAAAAAGGTCTTTGCCTGCCGCCAGAAAACAAATAACGACGGCACCAGGCAGACCTCTCTAGGGAGTGCATTCCATAGGCGGGGTGCCACCGCAGAGAAAGCCCTCCTCCAGGTACTTTGCCTGCTAATGTCTTTCACGGAGGGTTCCCCGGAGGAGGGCCTCTGCTGCCGATCTCAGGGGGCAGGAGGGTAAATATGGAAGAAGGCGTTCCTTTAGGTATCCAGGTCCCAAGCCGTTAAGGGCTTTATAAGTAATAACTAGCACCTTGAATTGAGCCCGGACTTCGATGGGAAGCCAGTGAAGCTGGTAGAGGACTGGGGTTATATGAGAGTAACGCCCAGTCCCCGTCAGCAAACTGGCTGCTTTATTTTGCACCATCTGAAGTATCCAGACTGTCTTCAAGGGCAGCCCCACGTAGAGCACGTTACAGAAATCCAGCTGGGAAGTAACCAATGCATGTGTCACTGTTGCTAGGCAATCGTCCTCCAGGTAGGGACGCAGCTGATGGATTAACCGAAGCTGAAGGAAAGCGCTCCTCACCACTGCTGTCACCTGAGCTTCCAGGGACAGCTCTGGGTCAAGGAGCACTCCCAAGCTGCGGACCCTGTCCTTCAGAGGGAGTGCAACCCCATCCAGGGCAAGGTCCAAGTCACCTACCCAGGAGCTTGAACCACCCACCAACAGGACCTCCATCTTGTCTGGCTTGAGCTTCAGTTTATTGGTCCTCATCCAGCCCATTAGCTCGGCCAGGCACCGGTTCACCTGGATTGGTTGAAAAAGAGAGGTAGAGCTGGGTATCATCAGCGTACTGATGATTCTGCAGCCCACTCCTCCTGATGACCTCTCCCAGTGGTTTCATGTAGATGTTGAATAGCAAGGGGGACAAAATGAACCCCTGCGGTACTCCATGGCATAACTGCCATGGCGCAGAGCCAAAGTCCCTCAAGCACCACCTTTTGGAATTGGCCTTCGAGGTAGGAACGGAACCGCTGCCAAGCAGTGCCTCCTACTCCCAGTCCTGCTAACCTATCCAGAAGGATAACATGGTTGATGGTATCGAAAGCCCCTGAGAGGTCCAGGAGGACCAACAGGGACACACTCCCCCTGTCTCTCTCCCTGCACAGGACATCATACAGGGCGACCAAGGCAGATTCGGTACCATACCCGGGTCTGAAGCCAGACTGAAATGGGTCCAGATAATGAGTTTCATCCAAGAGTGCTTGGAGTTGTCCCGCCACCACCCGTTCTAAGACCTTGCCCAAAAACGGGATGTTGGCCACCGGTCTATAGTTGGCGGCCATCTCTGGATCCAGGGACGCCTTCTTTAGGACCAGTCTGACTACCACCTCCTTTAGAGGTGCAGGCACCCGGCCGTCCCTCAGGTGTTAATGACCTCTAGGATCCAGGCACCAATCCTGTGTTTGGCCTTGGTCAGTAGCCAAGACGGGCAAGGGTCAAGTAAGCAGGTGGTGGGACGTACTTGCCCAAGCACCTTGTCCACATCATCAGGCCGCAATAACTGAAATTCATCCAATAATATCTGACCAGACGAAGTCATCCGCACCTCCCCTAGAGGATCTGAATCACTAGTAGAGTCCAGCTCATGATGAATCTGAGTGATTTTCTCCTTGAAGTGCTGGGCAAAGTCGTCAGAGTGGGCCATCGAGGGTGGTACAGGATCTTTCTTAGGACCTGGATGAACCAGCCCTTGTACCACCCGAAAGAGCTCCTCTGGATGGCATTGTGAGGAGGCAATGGAAGCGGAGAAGAATTTCCTTTTCGCTGCCCTCACCACCACAGCATAGGCTCAATAATGAGCTCATAAGCGTATTCGGTCAGATTCATCCCGTGATTTCCTCCACCTATGCTCTAGATGTCTCCCAACCCGCTTCATCACCCGTAGTTCAGGTGTATACCATGGGGATGAATGGGCTCTGCCAGGCGGGAGAGGATGCTTAGGAGCAATCGTGTCAATAGCTCTGGCCATTTCCCCATTCCACAGTTCAACCAGAGCATTAACAGGAGCGCCAGCTTTATCAACCGGAAACTCCCCCAGAGCTTTCAGGAATCCATCCAGCTCCAAGGGCAGTCCAACACAATAGGGTCCGCACCCTTACCGAGGGAAAGGCCAACATCGAGCTCAAACCTCATGAGAAAGTGGTCTGACCGTGACAGGGGAGTCAAACATAAATTGCTCACCCTCAGATCACCCTCTTCCTGCCCTGTCGAGAAAACCAGGTCCAGCGTGTGTCCACGTTCATGGGTTGGGCCTATGACATATTGAGGCAGCCCCATGGCCATCATAGAGGCCATGAAGTCCTGAGCCGCCCTGGTCAGAACAGTCTCAGCATGGAGATTGAAGTCCCCCAGGACCAACAGCCTGGGGGTCTTCAACACCAGGTCCAAGATGATCTCTGTCAGCTCAGGCAGGGAGTCTGATGGACAGAAGGGTGCACCGTACACCAGCAGAATCCCCAGTCTGTCTTGGTTGCCCAATGCAAAGTAAAGGCACTTGGTCTCGAGAGAACAGGAAGCCCCGCAAGAGAAATTGAAACTCGATAGATTAAAGCAACTCCCCTCCCCTCCGGGCGTGGCTGGTGCTGGACCAGATGCCCAGGCGGGCACAGTTGAGAGAGGGACACATCCCCCCCTCTTCTGCCCAGGTCTCTGTAATGCAAGCCAGATCGACCCCCTCATCTACAATTAAGTTGTGGATGAGGGATGTTTTGTTACGGACCGACCTGGCATTAAGCAACAGCACCGTCAGGCCTGAGGGGCGGTTGATAAGCATACCCGGAACCTTCCGGTTGGGGGAATAACCAGAAGGGGGAACAGGTGTCAACCATCTGTCCCTCTTTCTTCTATGCCGACACATTAAACCCCCAACGCCATATCGACCATTGCCCAAAACCACCCCAATGGTGGCACCCACGTGCTCCCCAGGCAACCCCATAGCACATCTGAGCTAATAAAGCTCACTCTGAACAATGTTACATAGAAATAGAGGCAAATACAAAATTGGGGAAGCTTAAAGACTCCATGCAGTGTTTTCCTCTGCATCGGAAGTTTCTGATGCCACCAGAAACCTGCTAAGTGCTTTTTAACAATGGCTTCTTGTTCTAAAGCAGTCTGACATGAGATGGGCTGCTTTAGGTTTAAAAATGGAATGCGTGAACTTGAGGCATCTTCTTGCCTGTTGGCTCAAGAATTTAAAAAGCAGCATTGAATTTTACTGCTGGACTATTGGCAAGTAGGGAGGTCTTGTTGTTAGGAAAAGCACTCAACAGTGGTTCCTCTCTGGATCAGGTCTACTTGGGAAGTAATTTGTAGTGTTGTGTAACCACAACTCTATAAAGTGGGGTGTGCTGACAGTTTTGCTGTGTTACTGCATGTTTGTGTTTTGTGTTAGCCGCTTTGAATAACACAAAACAGATGGTATGGGGCAGATCCATTTTGCCTGCCATGTGTCAGTTGCCATTCTGTTGAATAGCTTACAGTCAAATCTTAGGTAAGTCTGGAAAAAAGATGTCACATTCCTACTCACAAGCTACAAATCAGACATCCAGAATCTTTCCAGCCCTTCCCAGAGCTTGAATCTCTGGTAGCTAAAAATGGTTTAGGTTAATGCTGTTGGTAAGTTATGCTGGTTCTCAGTTTGTGTCCATCTAGCAATTTGAAGCATGGGGTGGGGTCACTTTAACTTGAGCAATTGCAATTAATATGTTGTATATAATCTGACATATTGCTGCACTGGTACAATATTCTGTTACTATGTTTGGGCATCATGGTAAACCATAACCTATAGTTTAGCATGATTAGAAGAAGCTTCAGCATGCCTTAGGCTCACGCACTCTCCTCTGCCAACCTTTTCCCCAGTGCAGTTACAAGTATATTCAGTATTTGTTTCAGTTTGCCATTAATCCCATTTTAGCATAATGTCAACACTCCAAATTGGTTAAAATTCCCAGATGGGCCAGTTTCATAACAGCTGTTTGAAGTTTGTGTGTTCCAAACAATCCATAGTTAAGAGTAACCACAGTGTTTCTAGTTTGGATGCCATAGCTACCTGTGGTTGATCTAATATTGTGGGAAAATTTCTAAATTCTTCCACATGACAGTGCCAGAGAAGGAGGATTGATTGTTGCAGCCTGAGTCTCAATGCAGCTTGTTCATGCCACGCTAGTTCAGGTGGTTTTAGCTTGCTTGCTTGCTTGCTTGCTTGCTTGCTTGCTTGCTTGCTTGCTTGCTTGCTTGCTTGCTTATTTATTTATTTATTTATTTATTTATTTATTTATTTATTTATTTATAGCATTTTTAAGCCGCCCCCATCGCAGAAAGCCTCAGGGCGGCTTACAAAGAAAATAAACAACATAAGATAGAATAAGATTAAAAATCTGGAGCATCTCGGCAATATTTTAAAACCAATAAATAAAAACAACAATTAATTAAAATATCGTTTAAATAAAAAGGTCTTGGCCTGGTGCCGAAAAACAAATAACGATGGCGCCAGGCGGACCTCTCTGGGGAGCATATTCCATAGGTGGGGCGCCACCACAGAGAAGGCCCTCCTCCAGGTACTCACCCTCCTAATATCCTTCACGGAGGGTTCCCGGAGAAGGGCCTCCTCCGCCGATCTCGAGGCGGGAGGGCATATATGGATGCAAGCACTCCTTTAGATAACCAGGTCCCTAGCTGTTGAGGGCTTTATAGGTGATTACCAACACCTTGAATTGGGCCCGGACTTCAATGGGGAGCCAGTGAAGCTAACGGAGAACTGGGGTTATATGAGAACAATGCCCAGTCCCCGTCAGCAACCTAGCAGCTCTATTTTGCACCAATTGAAGTATTTCAACCATCTTCAAGGGCAGCCCCACGTAGAGCATGTTACAGAAGTCTAAGCGGGAAGTTACCAATGCATGTGTCACAGTCGCCAGGCAGTCGTTCTCCAGGTAGAGACGCAGCTGATGGATCAGCTGAAGCAAGGTACTCCTCGCCACTGCTGTTACTTGAGCTTCTAATGACAGCTCTGGGTCAAGGAGCTCTCCCAAGCTGCGAACCCTGTCCCTAAGAGGGAGTGCAACGCCATTCAGGACAAGGTCCAGGTCCCCCATCCCGAAGCCCGACCCACCTTACCAACAGGACCTCCATCTTGTCTGGATTGAGCCTCAGTTTATTTGCTTGATGTGCAAATTCTTCCTGTGGGATTAAATCCGAACACTTACTTGTACTTAAATGAGACAGATGTTGATTTTTACTAACATGGTGAAACATGCTGAATAAATGGGGGAATGAGTGATGAAACTGGTGAATTGATGAAGAAAATATCTTTACTTCCCAAAATGCCCACTTTCTTTGAAGACTGTATTCACTTATCAGGTGCATTTTAAATGTTTCATTTAAGCTTTGCATCCTACTCTCAACTTTGTGTCTTTTTCTCCTAGAAAATGCCAAGCATTCTTAGCGATGATCGCTTCAAAGTCATGTTTGAGAACCCGGATTTCCAGGTGGATGAGAAGAGTGAAGAGTTCAGGCTGCTTAATCCACTCATTTCTAAGATAAGCGAGAAAAGAAAGAAGAAGCTGAAAATGTTAGAGCTTCAAGAAACCCTGGAAAAGGTGAATTTCTGAGATTGCCTTTTATTGCCTGTCCCCCGCTTACAAGAGCATGGGTGTGATCTGCTTGCTTTGGGGGTGTGGCCCTTGTTCACTCAGGATTCCCAGTAGGAGCTGGTAGAACCCCCATTGTCTTAGTCTTTGCTGTGCACACATACATCTTACTAGTACTTAAGCACATGCGCTGGCAGCCCATTGGGGAGGGAGGGTCTCTGCATGCCCCCCACAAACTGGCACGGGCAGCTGTGGGAATTCTAGGGGCATTTTTACACACACCCCAACACAACCCCCTTGTGGGCTGCACTGAGAGCTGGGTTTTTTTTTTAAAGTTGCTTAAATTGGGCCACAAACTGCTACCTAGCTTAGAAGTGCAAAGAGAGCCAAATTTGATGCTTTAAGTACGTCATAGCTTGTTTTATCATTTAAAAAAAAACTTGAGGTAGTTATGTTTATGGTCCCCTTGCTGCCATACTGGAAATCTGAAAAGAACTTACATGTGTACTTGGGAAAAAAAAGGAAAGGGAAAGGTATGTTCAGGCAACATTAAATATGATGGTTAGTGCTTTAGAGTCACTGTCAGGATGGACAGGTTTGTGACTTCTACATTCTAGCAGAATGACAAAGGTAGGTTGTAGAGGGAAAAACAACAAACATGTGACATCTTTGGAGTACCTCCAAGTTAGTGGTAAAGGGTGAAACTTGCACAAGCTCCTGGGTTCCCTCTCTGGCATCTCGAGTGGGCAACAGGGCACGTGGAAGAGCTGGAAGGCCTTGGAAGAGCTGCTGCCAAAGTTCAGCAGTGCTGGGTTCTCAACAAGCCAGGCATCTGACTTGGTATAAGGCAGCCTTCTTTGGGGAGACAAGCAGCTATTTGTAGTTCTGTTCTTAAATGTTCATGCTGTGGCATTGATTGGGTTTGCATGATTGGGGAAGGAAATTAAGCTGCTGTATCTTATCTTCCCACCCCGTGCATGCCCGTCACACACTGCCAAATTTTCATAATTATCTTTACCAGGCCTAGCTTGTCACCGGGTGCATCAACTGGTGAGTTTACAGGCCACCTCAGACCCCATGTCTTGCTCTAGGGTGGTGGGGTGGCTTGTAAACTACATCTTCACTTGCAAAGTCCAGAAGACACAAAAAGCGTGTCCAGTAACGCTAATGTAGCCCTACACAACAGCACACACGAGGTGGGCAATTGCACCATGACAGCTTATGCTCCTTTCCCAATCATATGAACCTGGCCAGAGTTCAAAGTGCTTCAAGTAACTCAGTGATGACTGCCCGTATAAGATATTTGAATGAGACAAAACTAAATCACATGTCCAGGTGGTTGGGAATGGAATGATAACAGAAAGGGCTTTCTTTCCCACACATTTGGGGTTTTCCCAAAACCTCATCTGCTATACAAAATGTTAAATCTAACTGACTGAATATATTTTCTCTCTTGCCTGTATGAGGAAGTTTTGTCTTAATATATCCCTCCCAGAGCTGCAGATGCAGTATAAACTGTTGTAAACAGCCCAGAGGACCTTAGCTATTGGGCAGTACAGAAATAAAATACATGAAATGATTGTGATACTTCAGCAAGTATATTCTGAGCCCCTGTATTCTTCGCTACCTCTCTATCCCTGATTGTCTGTTAAAATCATAGCCATCACCAAAATAGTACATATGTAGAGTGTCACGTACTCCTAACTGGGTAAGTGGCTCTTCTAAGAAACATGTACGAGTTGTTGTTGTTTTTTAAAAAAAGTAACTATTTTTATCTACAGGAAGAGGAGGAAGAACCAGAAGGAAAACCAAGTGATGCAGAAAGTTCTGAGACTTCAGATGATGAAAAAGGCTGGGTTGAAGAGGTCAGGAAACAGCGCAGACTTCTTCGCCAAGAGGAAAAAGTAAAACGACAGGAAAGGTTCAAGGAGGATCAGCAAACAGTCCTGGAACCAAGATTTTTTGAGATTAAAGCTGGGGAAGAATTTAGAAGCTTCAAGGACACCGCCAAAAGGCAAAAGTTAATGAAGTAAGACTGGCATCTCTTATTTCATTCACTAGATTTGTGCTTAATTCTCCCGCACCCTTTAATGTAATTGATGTGTTGGTGGTTCCAGATTTTTCAGTGGACAGTTTGTTTTTATGGCCAGATGTGGTGATATAGCGAGCATATATATCTATGCATGACTATGATGGCCCTGATTGAAGATGGTACAAAACCTCAGGCCAGCAGACCAAACTTGGCTTTCCTTGGGTCATAATACTGACTACCTTTCTCCTGACCATTTTTTTTTTATGATTTCCTGACTTTTGTGCAGTTTCTCTCCATTGAAATGCCTCTCGTAAGACTTAGCCCCTGGTAGTAAATGCTTTGCTGGTATGTTTGGTGTTGCAGCTCCATGCCTTTTGTCTTTTGTCCTGCCAACCACTGGAATGCAGTCCCCAAAACCTTCTCCAAACTGGAATTTGACCCTCAGGTTGAAAGGGGTTCAGCTCCTATGTTCAAACAACTGCACCCCAGTCTGCCTTCTGAAAGCCAGCCTAGGGCTGTGCACAGAGAGGTGCAAGCCATGCATGAGGCCCATTGAGCCCTGATGTGCAGCCATGGATAAAAGTTGTAGGACCTATATCTGGCAAACCTGCAGTTTATCTTGTTGTTGTTAGTCGCGAAGTCGTGTTCGACCCTTCGTGACCCCACGGACAACATTCCTCCAGGCCTTCCTGTCCTCCACCATCCCCCGGAGTCCACCTAAGCTCATGCAGACTGCTTCAGTGACTCCATCCAGCCACCTCATCCTCTGCCTTCCCCTTCTCCTTTTGCCCTTGATTGTTCCCAGCATTAGGCTCTTCTCCAGGGAGTCCTTCTTTCTCATTAGGTGGCCAAAGTATTTGAGTTTCATCTTCAGTATCTGGCCTTCTAAAGAGCAGTCAGGGTGTTATGCATCCCTCCTTTTTGCACTTGTGAGTTATCGAGTTTTTATTTGGAAGTTCTGTTTATACTCCACACATCTTTATAGTCAATTAGCCTTTAGCCTGAAATGTGTGTTTTGCATACTTTCTATGATAAATTTGTGTAAAATTACACAAAAATAAAGGCCCACAAGTTCATGGAATCTGCATGACTCCTGGAATCTGCTGGTCAGATTTTTAGAAAGTCAAATAATTTGAGTGCATGGCAAATCTGCCCTTCAGACCTGGATGGCAAAGCCAATGGAGTGAGATGATGGGAATTGTAATCTAGCATCATCTGGAAAGGCAGATGATTTAAAAGAAAAGGATTACACTAGTTTTATTTTAGAATACCACTTCTAAATATTTCATGTTATATTTATTGGATAAATAGATGCAGATACAGTTACACACACACCAACTTTTTCCTTCAAGGAACCCAAGGTAGCTTATCCATCTCTCCTCCTCCTCCCCTCCAGTTTATCCTCACAACAACCCTGTAAGGTGGGTTAGACTGAGAATCAGTAACTGGTCCAAAGTTGCTAGCTTCATGGCAGACTAGAACCTGAATCTTCCAGCTCCCAGTAACCACTAGACTGCCTGGCTCTCTGTGACCATAGATAAAATGATTGCTGAAAGGCCCATCTAGGTAGGGGAATGTTCATCATCGGCAGGATGACAACACATCCCCTTCCTCGTGGCAGGGTCCGCAGCCTCCTGCCCCAGCTCCCAAATACACTGCAGTGGCAAAAAAATGTGGTGACCTTGCAGTGGAACAAGCTGCATGCTCCACCGAGTGCAAATATCCTTGTCATTAAGACATGCATCCTTTGCAGCCTTTTAGAATCATTACACTTTTAGCTAGCATCATCAGCAGTTTTGATGGTGATAGGAGTAGGAAACCCCAAGTGGGTTGCTGGCATAGGGTCGCATGCTCCCTGCAACTCTCTGAAGGACTTATACATGCAAAACTTTGGTCAAACACTGCCAAAGCTGATTGCCTGGTGTGCGCTAAACCTTAACTTCTGTGCCTTTTCCCATTATAAAAAGGGCAGGAGCATAGGAAGCTGCCAGCAGTCAGACCATTAGTCCTGCTATTCCAGTATTGTCGACACTGACTGGCAGTGGCTCCACAGTGTTTGAGGCAGGAGTTTTTCCAGCCCTCCCTGAAGACTCCAGGAATTGAACTTGGAACTTTCTGCATAAGCAGATTGTTTTAACACTGAGCCACAGCCCATTTCACAAAAAGACTTGCATCACAGTCCATTGCTTCAAGAGAGAGGACAGTCCTATGAATACATAATGCTGGGATAGAGAGAAACCATCCCGCATGCACAAAATACTGCTATATGCATATATGTGGGAGGCTGGCAAACTTTTCCACAAGAAGAAGAGGTCTGAAAAGCTTCTATGCACATAGTATGCCATGTCTGAGACTGTGGTTCATATATAATAATATGAGCAGAATGCAGAACAATTACCTCCATGGAAAAGTTAAAGTTAGGAATTATTGAAAAGTCGATTTGATTTTAATGGAGGAATTCCGCTTGCTGGTGCTCACTTAATAAAATCAAGAATACTTAACTTTGACTGTCACATTCTGACTTTGTAATGAAACAGACTTCTGAAGAGAGAGAGAAGGCAAACAATTTGGCACAAAATCTAGTACAATCTCATCATTTTCTGCTTAAATATTTTCTCTCTTTCTATTTGGCCTATTGTAGCATCTGCAAGACAACCAAATTTATTATGGCAGAAGCTTTTGTTTCTGATAAATGGGACTCTAGTCCACAAAAGCTATTACTTATCTTAGTTGATTTTTATTGTACTCTATAGGACTCCTTTTTTTCCTGAGTGTTAACTGTCTTAGTGTCTCCTGCATCCACTTAATGGCTAGACATTTTTATGGTAGCATTTGTGAAGAGGTTTATGGCTTAAAAAAAAATATAAAACTGGGTGTTCCTTTATCGTGTTCCTGACTCAGTGTTGCTTGAAGCTTAATTTTTAAAGCAGTGATGTCTTCAGCTTTTAACTCCTCAGACTTTGCTCTATTCTAGCCAATGCATATTAGCAATCTTTAAATTGACATCCAGGTGCTTTCCCTTTCCATTTCTGCATTTTGTGCTTTAAAAATAAATATTGCTATTGCCCTGAGGCTTACCTAATCAGTCAAACAAATGAATCAACTGGGCGTTTTTCAGTTGGATTTGCGTGTGTGTGTGTGAGGGGATTTTTCTTAAGTTTGGGGCTCAGTTGCTTTTTGGTATGGTTCTGCTAAAGACCTAAAGTTGCTACCCTTTGGCAGCACCAATAATAATATGAAGTAATATCAAATTTAAAAGAAAATACCAATCATATCACCTTAAAGGTTTATACTCTTTAAATGAAGAGCTGCATGCTAAATGCTGCAGAAAGAAGTGCTTACTCATTTCACTCAAACATTTTTGAAAGTTTGATTTCAACTAAAGAGTTGGAAAATTATGGAGGGTAATAGTTCCACTGAGAGAAGCTACGGTGACGTATGACGCTATGGGGGATCCCTTTCTCCTTTAATAAAGTGTTGTCACATTTCATGTTCTCTTTCACAACATGCTCAGTTTCCCCATCCTCCACTCCACTCCACTCCACTCCACTCCACTCCACTCCACTCCACTCCACTCCACTCCACTGGTTGCTGTTTGTAAGATGGAAAAGCTTGGCGTATAATGTTACCTCAGACAATGCCTTTTAAGAAAGCAAACAGGAGAGATTGCTGAGGCTGCTGTTCTATCAGCAATTATGCATATCCTGTGACAGGTTCCGCCCAGGCAGGACATGAAAAATGAAGGCAGGAGCAGGCACCGTGTGGCCCTCAGGCACCTTTCTTGGCACTTGCCAAGGTACCCACCCCTCCTTTTTTATTGACACATTTTCTTGCTGGCAGCTGAAGTTGCTGTGAAACAGGCATCTGCTGCTGTAGCAACTAAAGCAATTGTTTAGTGTTCAAACTCACTTCTGCCTCGTTCTTCATTTTTGGGTGTGTTACTTGTCCTTTGTCACACTTTGCATGGGAGCCATTTTGTGGTGGTGCCCTGGACACTTTCTTAAATTGTCAAATGTCCTCACAGCCCAGAAGGGTTGCTTAAAGGAGCAGCAAGTATTTGAATTATTACAGATACTGGGATTGGGGTAAAAACTAAGCTTGAAGATTTGAAGTAGCTTCACTTACTATTTTTTTACCTGAGAATTGTTTTCTGTTTTGGCCACACGAAAGCAACCTTAGTGAAAGGTACCTAGCTTGTATTACCCATAAGAGATTAGAAAACCAGCACAATAACAAAATACTTTTTTGTGTTTTCTGATCGCTAGAGCACCTATACCTTGTGTGGAAATAGATACTGACTCTAAAATGTGTATAAGAGAGATACAACAACAGCTGTTAGTGTGTATCAGTGCAATATATGGGAGAAGAACATTTAAATTGAAACTTTCAGAAAAGGCCATGATTATATTCATCAAGGCAGCAGATTGGCTTGTTCTTTGCACATTCACAGATGGTTTGTTGGGTTTGTGTGCACATGCCTACAATATGCTGACCAGAAAACTATAAGAAATTGACCCTTCTCTCTCCTGACATCTGCAGGAAAACACTTGGCGATCGCTTGCAACTTGAAGAAAGAGTTGGCGCACTCAGTGTACATGATACTGCTATTGGAAGTAAACAAGTCAGCTTTAAATTAAAAAAGGTAAGTTGAAACTTTAGGCACGTGAATGTTATGATGATAGCATTCAAAAGTACCAAATTAGTCTCCTGGTGGCCCCATTTTCCTCCACTGCATGTACCGCACTAGGATGGTTTCCAGAGCTGGGCTGCCTGTCTTGGCATTTTTCCCAGATGTGCACCTCTGGGTTGTTGTATGAAGTCTCTCTTTCTGCTTTTAGCCATAGGGAGGAGGAATGTAAAGTGCTGACTCTCTCTGAACCATTATCCTGGTCACCCATCTGGGCTTTCCCTGCATATATATTAGCTTAGGCTCTGCAGAGCTCTTCTGCTTGCAGAAGCAAGTGTGTTTGTGTGTGTGCATGTGCGGTGGCAGAAGGAGGGAGAATCTCTTGTGTCTTTCAGTTCTCCACTTTCCTTCAGCGACCTCTTGCCATGCTACATCAAATACGGTTCCAGCACATTCCCAACCCACAAAGAGTGGCTTTTTGGGGTCATGCAGAGGGCTTTAGAAGGAAGGGAGAGGAGGAGAACCCCTGATTTTTACAAGCAGACTCAGCTCAGCAAGCCTTAGTCTACCTTTCTAGCCTGACTTCATACTATGGATGTTGGAGAAATCCACAACATATTCAGATCAAATAGCATTTTTATAAATTCAGTGTGATGACCGATTTCTTTAGTGTCAATCCACATTAGCCCAAGTGTGCACTATAGCACTAATGAGCACTTGCACAAATGCACTCATGCAAATTAGCACAGATAGAATGAATTTCTAGCTAAACAGTATGATTTGGTGAATGAGTATATGATGGAACACAGGGTCTGCAAAACAAAGTCAGAAGAGATAACAACAAAAGCTGTACAGCCCTACTCACCCATAACAGCTAGCATTTGAAAAATAAAAGCCATTGTAATATCCTTAGTAAGCTGAATTCTGGACCCAATGCCACACTTTACCTTTGACAAAATAATGTGTTGCAGTAATGAACTAATGAGCTGGCTACATCCTGTGAAGGCTTCTGGTGGCTGGCTTAGGGCTTTCTGTGTTATTTTATTTTTGCAAAATGAACAGCAGTTGCAAATGCAAACTGAGGAGAGACGAGCAGTTAGCTGATGTTCAGAGAATCTTGGCAAGCTCAAACATTGCTTGTTTGTCCATCTCAAAATCGTATACATGTTTGCTCAGAAGTATGTCCTGTTGAACGCAATGAGATTGGCTTCTAGTTAAGCAGATATATAATTGTATTCTTAAGTTTACTTTCTAGGAATAGCATTTTGGATAGAAGCACAATTACTAGCATATGTATATGCTTAAGGGAGCACTCTTATCACCCCTAGAAAGTGTTGTGGGGCATAGGAAATTTCATATTCTAAGGTCAGAGGCAGCCTTGCAGGTATGAATCAGAGCTCAAATTCCTCACCCTTCTTTCTCACCAGTGACATGGAAAAAAGTGTCAGTTGCTCTCTGAATTTGGGAAAGTGATGTTGGAGAGGGGCAAATGGGGCATTCTGGGTGGGCAGGGAGGAGAAGAAAGTGGGAATGCCAGGATGGAAGTTATCCTGAGGCCTTCTTGGCTGCCTCCTCTCCTTTTTTGAAATCCTGTAATTAGATGGCCAAAAAAGCTCATCCAGTGAAAATGCAGGGCAGGAGGACAAGTTGGCAAACTTAAACTTTTTAAAATTTGGCGAGAATAAGGTAGAATTCTTTCATCTCTCCAATTACATAAGTACTGATTTAGAAATGCACATCTCATTTGGTTATTTCTTGTAACTTTTACAGTCAGAGCAACAGAGAAAACAGCAAGAGGCAGAGAAGCACCACCATCAAGAAAGGAAAAAACTCAGGCGTTCAGCTGGCCACCTCAAAAGTAAACGGGGAAGAGGACGACCCTTCCATTGACAGTCCTTTTTTTTCACTTGGGGGACTTTGAGATGTGTTCCCTTTTGTAGAAATCATCAGCATAAGCCAAGCCCTCTTCAAGTCCTGTTTGACAGAGAAGAACTGTCTATAGCCATAGATGTGGAAAAAACATGGAGAATCCCATGTTTGGACCAGAGATATTTATGTTTCTAAAGGAGCAGCTGGTTATCATGTAAACTTGTGATTTACATATAAACTGTGCTATGAACTGGATGCCACCTTTAAAAAAAATTAACCATAATGCATTCTTTGAAGAGACACTGGTTTTCAAGTCTTCAAACACTTTCCTGAGTCACATCCTAAAATAAAATTGTGAAAGCATGGTTGTCATGCCCAATAATGCATACTCATGTGTAAGGCATTAGAAAATTAGGGTACTGCCAATGAACATTTGCCCCAGGAATACCACTCAGACCCAGAACTGCTGTCTAAAGGAGCCTGTTAGCATTCCTCATCCACTGCTGTCAATAAGCTTGTTCATACCCTGAAATAAACCTGAGGGGAATGAAAGAATGTGCGTGCACACACAGGTGCCAGTATTCCTATCAAGACCTCTCAACAAGTGAGTGAGTGCCAGTAGTTTGCAGCATTATACTAATGCTAGCTCTGTTTCTGCAGACATCCCACCTAATAAGCTGCTCCTTTCCATTTCCATGACTAGCAAACATGGAGGACTTACCCAAGCAAGCATTAACTGTATCTTTATGTGACTCCCACTCCAGCATAGTCTTTGACTGACTGCAGGTGTGTGGATGCTGTCAGCACACAATTTTTGTGATCAACTGCCTGAGTCGGAGAACGGAGTTCTGCAGCTTCTAATGTTAAACGTACACCCTCTCCAGATAAGCCAGGGTGAGTCGTCTCCTCATCCACTCTTTGGCTTCTTTGGGATTCTCCTACTATGTAATGTTGGTATCTTACCAATAGATGTTAATGTAGTGGAGTATGGGGATATGCAGTTTGATGCCAACAGACCTTTCTGGTCCTGTTTCTGTTAATGTGGAAAACTGTGCCATCCAAAGGAGTTGTTTGTTGTGCTGGGGCTCACATGCCTTGTAGAGTCTTCTCGGCAAGCAGCTTCCATGGAGCCTGAAGTGCCTGATCCTGCCTAATCTGGAAGCTAAGCAGGGTCAGAAGTGCAATGGGTGACTTGACTGTATGTGTCTATGATTATTGCTGCAAACTGCCCTGAGAGCTTTGGTTGTGGGCAGGATGATGATGATGGCAGCCATTCTGTGATGCCCACAGCACAAAGAAGTTGCCTACCCACGCTTAGTATCTTGCATTACTTGCAATTATTTTCCCTAGAGAAGCAAATTGACACCCAATTCAATGTGCAAATAGTTGTACCTCCCATCATTTGCTGTGGTGAGAGTAAAATGTGCTTTATATGAACAAGCCGCTGTTGTGGAGAAGTCAGAAAAGGAAAATTGCCCAAGGAGCCTTCTGGAAACTCTCCCAAACTGCAGTCATAAAAATTGTACCTTGATTTCTCTACAAAAAAGACCTATAAGGAAATGCATAGGTTTTTAATCCTGTCAGGTTGTTCTGACATACCTGGTTTTGATTAAATTAACCGAAGGCCATTTACAGAAAGTGAGTTTTTAAAAACCCTTTGCTTTAAGATTACTATCTTGTCCTTAAAAAAAACCTGGCTCTGCCCTTCCCTTATATGCTTCCTGGAATTAAAGATCTTCCAGAAAGATCTGCAAGTTGTCACTCATATTGTACAGCAGCCTTGGCTAACTTTTGTCCTCCAGGTATGTTGGACTACAGCTGCCAGCATCTGCCGACTTGGGGCTGATGTACAGTCTGCTCTACCCTCTTGGAAATTGGCTGCTCCCTTCTCGGGGTGCGCTTTTCTTGATTTCAGTACCTGAAGTTTGAAGAAGAGCGGCTAGTAAAAGTTGGGAAAACCTTTGAAATGGTATTATTTCCATCCAGTTTCTGAAAAGTGGGGCACTAGGGCCACACTTTATGATATGTCAATTACTTGAATATTCTCACTTGCTGAGATAGGAGGGCACTGTAGGATTAGTAATTGGTGCCTCCAGTCATGACCATTTTACTCACATGGGGCTCTGAAATTCTGAACCTGCTCATTCAATGACCTTGGCTACCTCATGTAAACATGGCCCTGCTCTTCTTAAGTCAACACCTAAGTTGGAGGGAAGAGGATATTTTAATGAGAAACTCCAAATTCTATCAGAACTCACATTCTGCAGCTAAAAATGAATTGGGCACTTGATGCTAGCTGCGTTCTAGCTGTGGCTTCTGATGCCTGCAGAATTTAGACACCCAAAGGGTTACCACATAGAAACTGGAGTAGACTTGTTTCCAGCAGCTGCATGCAGGCTTGTCCAAGCTGTTTTTCTGCCTGAGGTGAAGGCCAGGATGGCTCCACACCACAGGCACATTCCACGTGCAGAAGCTGACTGGACAGGCCACTGAATCTTTTCTCCCCAGTCATATCAAGGGTACAGCTTCCTTTCTTCACCTGAGGAGAGCAGCTGTAGATGCTGCAAATTGGTTCTTCAACACTTCCCCAACTGCCACCTGAAGCTGCTGCCCCTCATTGCTCAAGAGTAGGTCCATCCCTGGCTCCAGAGGGAGGGCCAGTGGCTGGAAAGGGCAAGGAGACTTTCAGAGAAGTTTCCTAACAGTAAGTGCTGTTGAGAGTGCAGTAAGTGCTGTTCAATCATTAAAACTTATCACTAAAGTACATCTTGTCTACCAGGTGTCATTACAGCATTTTGAATGCCAATCAACCCATTAGAAGAAAGCAATCATAAACACACAACAGCCCCTTCTCTTTCATGATATGTTTCTGCACCAGTCTTTGGTGAACAAGTTCCCTGACCACCCCCACCCTTCAGGTATGAAGCTGCCTATGACATCTTGAGCCAAGACATGTTCAGTATGTAAAGCACTGAGGATTATGAAAGAGCTCCCTTATATGTTGCACAGATGTGGAGTACTACTGATGAAGCAGTGTATAACTTCCTTCCATTCCAGTTATTTGTGCTGTGGAGCTGCCACATTTATGAGAATTATTTACTGGTATTTATTAGAGCCACTCAATTCTAGAGTGCTCCTGGAAGACAACTCTTGCCCCCAGAGTGAGCTTGTGGATGCAAAGCTTGAACACAAAACATGTCACTTTGCAAGTAGTTCATTAGGCAAATCATTGCAGTTAAACATTTGGTAAAAATTTTAAATTAGCCTATTGGCTACTTGATCTATCTTGTTTTTAGTAGCAATCCCCCAAAGCCTTGGCTAGTTGGTTGTTGCTTTTCTGCAAGAGTGTCTTCATATAACCTGCCTGTACTGCTCAGGTGTTTAGAACTACAAATAGTACTTTATACACACACAGCCTGCCTATATTCCTTCCCCAAGTACTTCCCCTTAATATTGGCTAGATTGCTAAGAGATGGAGCAGGTGTTTTGCATGTTGTATTACTAGAGAATAGTAACAAAACAGTGGGGGGATTGTCAGGGCAAAATGAGTTAAAGCTTCACCATAATATGGCTGCTGAAACCCTGACATTGTAAGGATGATGATGTTGTTGTTGTGTCACAAAGTCATGCCCGATCCATCACAACCCCATGGTCAGCATTCCTCCAGGCTTGTAAGGATGGCTTTAGACTTAAGGTGGGATTCCTGGTCTGATCAGGAGACCGTGTTGCAACTCTCAGTGTCCCCCCTCCCCCCAAGTACACTTCAGATATGCCAGTGTTTGCCTGTCTCACCTTAGATATGCTAAGGCAGGGGTGACAAGACCGAGGCTCAGGGGCTGCATGTGACCCTTTGAGTTTATTTTGTGGCTCACCACTTGCAGCTGGGGTTGCCAAAGGGGGCCTGCTTGTTGCGCATCGCCCATAGGTGCCTGCTTGATGCCCATTGCTGTTGCCCATGGGCACCCGCTTACAGCTCTGACATTTACTGATTGTGGCTTTTCCACTGAGAAAGTATCGCCACCCCTGTGCCCATTCTCAAGTGTGTTCCTTTTGTGGTGTTATTTATAATCCATCCAACTCTGTTGTTATGTACGTAACTGACAGGTTATAAAAGAATCTTGTACATACTCGATATTTGTAGTCTTTTGTTGGTGGTACCTACATGCTGCATGCATTTCCAGTATGTCCGAGCAAATGTTCTTTTGATTGTACATTGCCACCCCCCAAAAGTCTATTGAACAATCCATTGGGTATTAACAGTATGTAAAATTGCTGACATTTCTAAAGGGGCTGACACTTCCTGTACGTTCAAACACATTTGCTTTAGACAAGGGGTAGGCAGTATATGTCACATGTTCTTCGTCGTGGCCTCTGTGCATCACGAAAGGCACAGAACAGACAAATGTGGCCACTGCTTGGCCTTTACAAAGCAGGCCCAGGAAAACCGCCTGCAGAAGTTACTGTGGGACCAGGCCCTTATGCAATCAGACCAGTTGGTTACAAAACCTGGTTCTGCCTCGGCTGCGCCTGTACAGCGTTCGGCCTCTGCCTTGGCCACACCCTTACAGTGCCCTGCTTCTGCCTCAGTCACGCCTCCACCGTGTCCAACTGCAGGCCACATCGCGACGTTATGAGGCCATGTACCGGGTTCAGGAGCAGGATATCCCATTCCTCCTGCACCCTCTGAAGCCAAACTTGGTAGTGGTCGAGTTGTTGCAGGGCAGAGAATCAAGGGACCATACAGCTCCGCGTGATAAAGAGGGCAGATAGATCGACTTGCTGGCACGCCGAGTCTGTGCGATCTCTGGACTCGGCTTGCATATCTCGAATTACGAGGCGACACTTGCAAGATACCAGTACTTTATCATGCAAAAGCTCAAGAACATCGCCTCTTCTCTGTCCGACCATCAGAGAGACCTGGCTAAGGTCTTCGTTAAGGAAGCTATGCAGGTTGCCATCCAGCAGCTTTCAACAGCAAGGCATCACGTCAACACCCAATTCCAGGGCTCTGGTCAGTGCCATCTCCCTCTGGCGACACGCTTGGCTAAGAAGCCGCAATTTCCAGGAGGAGATGAAGCGATGTATTGAGGAGATGCCATTTGATGGATCGGGACTCTTTCACGCCAGGATGGACCATAAGCTGAAATCCATACACGAGTCACGGATGACAGCCCGATGTATGGAGATTCAGCCTCAACAGAGATGTAAGTGGTCCTGGTCTCGGCCATCATACCGCCAACAGTTTCAACCCAGGCAGCAATACCAGCAACGCCAGTAGCACCGAAAACAGCCACAGCAGCGCTTCTAGCTGGGCTGTTGCCACTTCGACGCCGACGAGCCTGGCGAATCTTTCCTCCTCTCCAATTCCCACCTTTCCCCCTCTCATTTGGGGATCGACTGCAAAGTCGACTCCCCATTTGGGAGTCCATCACATCTGATCGGTGGGTTTTATCCATCATCCAGCTCAGATACAGAATAGAATTCAACATCATTCCTCCATCGAGCCCAATTCGATTTACACCATGCTCGCCAGTGTTACTAGACGAAGTTTGCCAACTGGTTTGTAAAGGAGCGATTCGTCACCTCTCCCATTCTGAGGGACTTCACGGATTCTATTTGAGATATTTTACAGTCCCTAAACAGGATGGTGGTCTCCGTCCTATCCTGGACTTGCGAGGTATTAATAGGTTTATCAGGCCTAAAAAATTTTGGATGACCATCCTTCAAAAAATCCTTCCGCTGCTGAGGAGAGAGGATTGGTTTGCCTCCCTGGACTTGAGGGATGCCTATTTTCACATTTCAATTCATCCTTGTCATAGGCATCTCCTACGCTTCACTGTTGGCTCCGATATATTTAATGTACTCCCATTTGGACTAGCCACCATTTCATGAGTCTTCACAAAATTTATGGCCAAAAAATGTATGGCCAAAATGTATGCATGCATCTTTGGCTCCAGGGTGTCCAGGTATATCCTTACCTAGACAACTGGCTAATAGTTTCCCAGACCAGGGATAATCTTCTGTAAGCCATCCATACAACTTGTGCTCTGCTGGATGATTTGGGACTTTGTATCAATCACGAAAAATTGTCCCTTGTTCCCGCGCAGGTGATCAACTTCATTGGAGCCCGTGTCGATTCTACCCTAGCGAGGGCATTTCTTCCTCCAGATCGTCAAGACAGCCTCTGCTCATGGATTCATCGGATTCGACGAGACAGGACTGTACCGGCCCTTTCCATTCAAAAACTTCTGGGCCATATGGCTGCTTCGGTTGCCATTGTTCCACATACCAGGCTTTGACTTCAACCTCTTCAACTACACTTCAGCAAAATGTTTCATCCACAGCGGGATTCTCCCACCAAACTAATCCAGCTCCCACTGCCGGTCCTACATTCCTTGACATGGTGGACAACTCCAGTCAATCTGAATGTGGGTGTCCCATTTCGACCTCCCCAACCAACCGTGACTCTTTATACCAATGCATCGTTGATTGGTTGAGGTGCAGTATGTGCAGGTCTTCGCACTCAAGGCACTTGGTACCGACAAGAATCAGCCAGATACATCAACTTCCTCGAACTGCTAGTGATCTTCAAGGCTCTTCAATCCTTTGAGGATATTCTTCAGCGACAAGTAGTTCAGATCACATCCGACAACATAGCCACTGTGTTCTATGTGAGCAAACAGGGAGGAACGAAATCAACCGTCCTGGCTCGGCTGTTGATACGGATTTGGGACTGGTGTATCCCAAGGGATATAACTCTTCTGGCAGTTCACCTAGTTGGTACCGACAACGAAGAAGCCGACCTGTTGAGCGAACAAATGTCGACAACCCACAAATGGGAGTTGGATTGACAGGTCTGTAATCAGCTTTTCCATCGCTGCGGACACCCAGACATGGACTTGTTCACTACCCATGCAAACACGGTATGCGAGATGTTTTGCTCGAGGGTGGACATTGGACCGGGATCAGCAGGGGATGCCCTTATGATCCCATGGGACAATGTCAATTTTTATGCTTTTCCTCCGATCCCACTCTTAACGAAAGTAGTATCAAAGATTGCTCACGACAAGGCCACGGGAATCTTGATAACTCTGTGGTGGCCCCATCAGCCGTGGTTTTCCACTCTTCTACAGATGTCAGACAACACCTTTCTTCGTCTTCCATCGGTTCCGCATCTAATAACGCAACAAGACGGGACCGTTCGTCATCCGGATCTAGCTTCTCTGAACCTCACAGCTTGGCGAACCCACTGAACATCGATACCGACTCGATACCGACAACATCTCGACTATCTGAAACTCACACTTACGGAACTGAGACGCTGCTTACTTCCTCAGATCCGATAGACTTTGCCTCGGGATCGGGAATTCTCGATTCAGATATTCAGAGAATTCTCGAATCTGCTCTACAACTATCAACGCAAAAATCTTATGCAGCAAAGTGGCGCCGATTCTCATCTTTCGCTGAACCTCATTCGTTTACTCCAGAATTGGCCTCGATAGAGGATATACTGAAGTTTCTCCTATAGCTTCATCATTCGGGACTCAAGCCATCATCTATAAAAGTTTACACGGCTGCGATTTCTTATTACCGTGGTGCGGTGCAGGGTTCATTGGTTTTCTCACAACCACTGATTAGAAGATTCATCAAAGGCCTTCAGAATCTTCATCCTTCAATTTGACCTGTTATGCCTACTTGGAGTCTTTCAATAGTACTTCAAGTGCTTACCAGAGCCCCATTTGAACCTCTGGCAACTATAGACTTACGTCTTGTATCCTGGAAGATGGCTTTTCTCGTAGCTGTCACATCGGCTCGAAGAGCTAGTGAACTTTGTGCTCTCCAGGTGGATCCGCCTTACTTGAATTTCCATAAAGAGAAGGTGGTTCTTCGAATGGATTCGACATTTCTACCTAAAGTAGCCACTCCATTCCATATGAATCAGGAAATAGTCTTACCTGCTTTCTTCCCATCACCATTGAACCCGATTGAAAGAACTTTACATACCCTTGATGTGCGCTGTTGCTTGGCTTTCTACAGATCACTTACAGAGTCTTTTCGGTGTTTGAACCGACTCTTTGTGAAATATTCTGAACAGGACAAAGGCTCTCCTATCACATCGCAAAGACTTTCTAAATGGATCGTTCAAACTATTGTATTGGCGTATCAACTTGCCAAGATAGACTTACCTGTCATCCCGAGGGGTCACTCCACAAGAGCAGTAGCAGCTTCTTCTGCCTTTGCTGTGGGAATTCCGATTCAAGACATCTGTAAAGCTGCAACTTGGGCTGTTCCTTGCCAGGCATTATCACCTTGATGTGTGTGCCAGGCAGGATTGCTCCTTCGGTAGAGCAGTCCTCTCCGCTGTCCTTCAGTAACGACACCGCCCTCCTCTGAGTCTGGTAAGTTTGCTAGTCACCCATATGTGTGATGCACAGAGGCCACGATGACGAAAAGCAGGTTGCTTACCTGTAATTGATGTTCTTCGAGTGGCCATCTGTGCATTCACACAACCCACCCACTGGCCCCACTTGGTGTCAGTGAGTGGACTCTTCTATTGGTACCATGCCTTAATAGTCATGGTATAGAATGAACTTATTGTAATATTTCTCTCTCCCGAAAGGGGGCGAATGATCGGTCTTTCAAAGACTGGGGAAAATGGCAGACACTCCGCTCTATATATAGTACTGAGGGGGAGGGGAGCGGAGTTTTCCCACCAAAGACCGTTAGCTTTCTAATCTTTCCAGCCTTAGGCACTGCGCAGGCGCAGCACCCATATGTGTGAATGCACAGATGGCCGCTCGAAGAACATCAGTTACAGGTAAGCAACCTGCTTTTGCCCAACTAAATTTGGGCTTTGGCAGAGAAAATTTGTGATTTTAGCACTTGGGCCCATCACAGACTCTCAGCCTAACCTACAACACAGGGTTGTTGTGAGGATAAAATGGGGAAGAAGAGATCCTTGTTAGCTGCCTTGGGTTCCTTGTAAGAGGAGGAAAGGTGGGGTATAAATTTAATGTAATAATAATAGTTCTCAAGTGGAATTTGACCCTTTCAATAGCACAAATTTGCCACTGAATGTGTGTGGTCTGCATAGCTGGAGGCAGGGGAGAAGTTCTCCTGGAAGTTACCCAT